TGGAATATAAAATTTCCATTTTATTATGATACTTCTTTTCAAAGTTATCCTAGGTAAAGTGTAATAACTGACTTCACAGCATGTGTCAAAAATGTGATTACACCGTCAAAAAAGCTGAAAACACTCGTAAAAAGTTGTGTAGTAAAATCAGCGTGCGCGCAAACCCTAGCACAAGATTTTTCAGATTTTTGAAAAAAAATTTGTCAAATGCCATATTTCACAATAGATCCATATGCTAGAAGTTCATACCGTAATCCTACAGTAACGAACAGCGATCGGTGATTCGCTCCATACTGCAAATCTAAGTTGGACTTTGCTCTAGAAAATGGTGCCTTAAGCTCGCCGAAAGACATGAAATCAAGGGAGTTATTAACGATCAAACAGTGTTAACATTTTTTTGGGACACCCTGTATATAAGTAATCACGACTTGCCTAACAGCCATTATTTGCAGTTTTCATAGAACCTCATGGTCCAAATATTAAACCCTTATAAAGACTGCGGAACATCAGTGACTTGATGACCTGCAGTTACTGCTTTGTCAACAATGTCGGCTTAGTATACTACGGAAACCGCTTAGATGAGAAGCAAATGTAAGAAACATATCTGCAGCGATGTATAGACATCGCCCAGTATGCCCGTGTGCCAAAGAGGAGGATTGCGACAAAGGCTAGTTTATGTATCACACCATTAGGTTGGCGGATAATCTCTGTTGCACTTTTTTGTGGAATATTGAGAAATTCCAGAAGTTCTCTAAAGTCTTCAAAGCTGCTCCATATGTAGGCCACGGCATGGCGTACACAACATATGAATGGTGCCGCAAATGCACAAATAGCTACCAAGTTCACGACAAGCTTCAAGCACTCTCAAAATCGTCATTTTTTCTTTGATTTTCTTCCTTGCGTTTGATTGTTTTTTCTCTTCAATAATTTTTCTGGAACATGGTTTCGCGTCATCTCTTTTGTGGCAGCACTTTGGTGCCGCTAGCAGGCCAAAAGAAGGGGTTGAAAAACAACCAAAAAATGAAAAATTCGTTGGAAATGTTACTTTTTGTGTGCATCGTGTAGGATTTGACACAGAGAAACTGGAAATAGTTTTTGTAAATTATTAAAAAATTGTTTTTCATGCCAAAATGCAAATGCATTTTAACGTGAGTGTGTGCTGTCATGGCGCAACATGTAGCTCATGTGATTGTGTGCGGACATCATTGTGCCATCCCCTACATTCGCTAAAAGCTATGGACCATACCCTGCCCGAATACCACATCGCCCGGTCTCTTCCCGATAACCTGCAACAATGTCAACCCGCTGACAAATATGTCCATAAAACGTACTTCCACCGATAAAGTGGGTGTTTCGCGCACGGACGGCAAATCGGGTGCGTAGCAAGTGGTACCCAGACAGCCGACTGCTGCCGCAGCCAGCCACCAGGGCTGCCGGCAAAGCCGCTGCAGATGAAACAGTAATTACGCTTGTTGTCTAAAACTCTGGCCGAGAGGTTTTGTCGCACCTCAGAGCGGCGAGGTGCGAGAAAACCTCTCGGCAAGAGCTTTAGACGACGACCGTAATTACTGTACCATCCGCAGCGGCTTTGCCGACAGCTCTGGCGGCTGGCTGCGGCAGCAGTCGGCTGCCTGGGTACCACTTGCACGCCTCCCAAATCTGACAGTACCGGCGGGTAGACCTTTGCACTCCTTAACATACTCCATAAATTTTTTTCGAAAGTTCCTTAGATTTTTGAGAAGTAAAGGTAAAATGTAACAGAAGTTATCCGCCAACCTAATAAATGCCTCGTATACTGGCGCGACTAGCAAGGTGTCAAGCATTAGCGTGACAGAACATTCGATAAGCAGAAGACGAAAAAGTTTGGTAATAACTCGTGTAGACATGAAAATGACTTGTACGAGGGAATGGGTTTAGAATCAAATGCAAAACTCAATGCTTGAGCGAGTCGCTTGATACTCATTTGTCGGGACGCAGCTAGCTACAACAGCTGCTTGAGAAGGAAGTTGGCCGAAGATAGCCAACTTCTGGCAGTGACCTCCGACCGCCATCAGTAGCCAGTCGCCTTCCCCTTTCCCCTTTTGTTTATAACTATTTATAATAAACACTATAGTAAGACTTTTGTCAACCCGCTACACATCAGGTAAAGGACCTGCAGACCTTTGTCCTGTCATGGAAGTCCCGGGAAGATTTTTCTCTTTTTGAGCTGAAGTCAAAATTTTCGTTTGAAAAAAAAAAGATTTTTTCACCCCTCGACATCCGTATCGGCAACAACTTCCACCCAAGTCGAGCGAACGAACGTGTGATTTTTTTATTTATCTGATAATAATGATGACGAATAGTGTGCTGTGATTATGAAAAATTTCCTTCATTTCCTTGAAGGAAAACTAATGTCTCAGACAAAAAGTATCGAAAGAAAAGCCATTCATAAATGTGGTGATGGTCTTTGATTGAGTTAATCTTAAAGTTACCATATCACCGAACATACTGATGATCTTTGACTGAATTATTTCATAGATACATCCTACCTAGTCCAGCGATCAGTCCCATTTGTCCCAAATTTTTTTTGATAATGATGCATCATTTAGCTCTATATATCTTACCATGAAGCGCAAAATTAATATTTAGCAAATTATATGTAAGTGACTGGAAAAATATTAATTTTTTTATAAACAGTTCCGCATAGTCATAGCTGGGCCAATCTGTGTATCTTTAGAATTCCTTTACAGAAGTGAATTCTAGCAAGAAGAATTCCTTCTTCTGCGGTTTTTTCGTATATTTGAACTTTTGCTCTCATTCACGTTTTTCTTGGGACGTTTTCACGTAGTTCCATAATTTTTAGAGTATTGCGGATTTCTTGCATCGGCTTTTCAGATCACATACGCCGCATACCTGGCTATCACATATGGCCTAGAACTCCAAATCCTTTATGCTAATCCGTTCCAGCAACTGTCTGCGCGCGTTCAAAATAGCAATTCTGGTGACAATTGTAGAAGCTAGCAACTGCTGATCTTAGGTCCGTGACAAATATCGCTATAAGCCTGTTGAATTGGTGAACTTACACACACTTGATTTACGGCTCATCTAGCTGTCTTCCGATGCCGAAAAGTTGGGCATCAGCAGCGACAGCTGTGATCAGCATCTCATTCATCAGCAAGCTGAATTAGATCATAGATCGCGATAAGGTGTAGCCAGCAAATTCAAGGTTCTGGTGATTCAAAAAAAGCTTTTCTTTTTAGAGACAGGCAGACATTTTTCTCATTGGCTCAACAAATTCCTTTTCTTCTTCCGACAACTTCTGTTTTAGTACTTGCTAGAAAAGATTCTTTCAAAAACTCTAAGTTCCACTGATTCCGCTATTCTTTTATGTATGCATACGATTACAATTATTGATTTAGTAGGTATTTTGCAAAGTTTGAGCTACGTGGCTGGGAGTTGGCACAAAAGGAGCATGCTGATTGCGAAAATATTGTGGAGGCAGGGTACTGGCATATAGAGATGGAGCCAGGACGAGAAAATCTTGTAGGGAAATAGGGCATGTGATTTCTATCATAGTGTATTGACAGGACCAGGAGGGGGGCGAAGTGTGCTAGCTAGTGAATAATAAACATGAGCGCTTGTCACAAGCAGTCAAATCCTTTACCAATGCCCAGGCGCGAACTGAAGTTTGTAAAGAATTGATAAAAATGACAAACATGATGATTACCAGTGTTGTGATTATTTTTGCAACTAGCTGGGATATCTTACTCTACTCGGTATCCGACGTGACATGGTAGAATTCACCATTCCGTGCGCAAACATGTCTCTTTTCTTTCCTAATTTATGCACCCTATATTTTTCGTTATGCATGGTCTTCGTCATTTCATCTCTTACTCCTTGTTTCAACACCGAGCGCTGTAGTCCAGTTTGCAGTTCCGACCCTGTTGATAAAGGCATTTTGGAGATAAATATTGTACCCGTAATGAGCTCGCTCACTTACCCAAGTGTGCCACATTCCAGCTTCCCAGCTCAAAGTTTACAGAGAATCATTATTGACATGAATATGCGCGAGCGTAGCATCATAGTCGAAGACGGGTTTCCAGTTCGACGCTCTGAATGGAAAAAAATAAGGCAATTTTGATCAGTAGCGTGCACTTAAGGATGAACACAGTTGAAATTTTCTTGAGCAACATTGCATCTAGATGTTTGTAACTAACTATGAGACTATGTAACGTTTGCAATTCTTAGTACTTGTCACTTTATTCAAAAAATGTTAGCTGTATTATAGCGTTGGCGGAACCTGCTGCACTCAGTCAAATTTGCATTAAGTCTTTGCCAAGCACTTGTACCCGCCATTTTCGAGCTTTTTAGAATGGATTTCCGGACTTAACTTATCGTCGATTCGTTGACCGCACGGACTACTCCAACTTGCGGATCACTTGCGGCGCGGCTGAATTGTCGCGAGAGCACGACTTGTACAATGGCGAATTTGTACTGGGACAAGCGTTTTAACTCGCGGCGCGTGCTCTGCAGTATTGTCCAGTCCGTGCGGTCAATGAGTCAACTATAGCTGATATTCCCATGCAAGCATGATACAGTCTGCCTCAATCGGGATCAGGCCGAACCGTCGGCTGAATTTGCGCGTTCGCAGCGCTAGGGGATTGCGCTGCATATGCGCGCTGTCGCAGAGAGTGAAAAGATTGAGGAGAGAGCAGACTAGTTAGCCGCAAATGTGGCGCGAAACCCTCGCGGCGCGGACTCCCGCCATGCCGATTTTGGCCTGGTTGGGATTGGGGCAGACTGTAGCTAGAAACGATTTTTGCCCGGACGCGGAAGTTGAGGCGCTTTCAAGCATATGTTCATTCCAGGAATTATCGAATCCGATAAGCCTTTCCATAACTAAGGTAGTGTGCTTGAATACTCTACTTAGTCGCGAATATTGGTAGAAAAACTTACTAAAAAAAAACTACTTAAAAACTAGCTTCAACCTTACTAGGGTAGGCTCACTTTTATATCACGTCTTGATCTATATCTTTATCCTTATCATTATAAGATACGCTCGAAGCGTGCTGGAAGCAGACAGCAATCCAGTAACAAACAGAAACACGTGTAGAGCGCTAGTCAGTTAACAAAGGAAGAGATAGGAAAGATGGGAAAAGGATAGCAGAACAAAAAAATCTGCAACACGATAGCAACGGCAGTCTAGCTCCAGTTACTCATGTACACATAGTGCAGCGACTCATACTGGAGAAGCTTGAACGGCACGCTATCCTTCCTGAAAAATTTATTGCTAGCATTCAAATCAGCGGTATCAGACTACCTACCTGAGTAATTGAGAAGAACATGACCAGGCAGCAGAAGCCGAGCAAACGCCAAGCGGAGGGCTAAACTAAACCTCCCCGTCAGAAAACAAATGTGTGCATTGGCAGGAGGCAGCCAGTACACCCGCACGCAAAACATCCAGCCACGCCACTCAGGCACGTCCCGCCAGCCGTCAAACGGCAGTCACGGCAACACGTCGAAAAAGAGGAGACAATACAGCGGATAAGAAAGCATATAAATTACTTTGCATTATTGATATGACTGACGTGTTCAAAACCAACAAGTACAGCCAATGTTTTTCAAATGAAGTGACAGGTCTTGCATGGGTGGAGGACTATATGTCGCCGAATTTGGAAGATTCCCGCGCGGATTCCCTGCAGGAACGCATGTTCGCGCATATACAAGGGTGCGTATTTGTCGCAAATGACCGCGGGGACCGCCCTTTTTCGGCGACATATAGCCCTCCACCCGTCTTGCATTAGATATGACAAATGTTACAAGTTTGAGAAGAGGACTTCTCTTCCCTAAAATCCACTTGATATTAGGTTGGCTAAAAAATAATTTCGGTCGCTTTTGACGGTTTTTAGAAAGTCTACAAATCGATTTGTGTGCCACTATAGTGCCACTACTGTGCCACTATTGTTATTTGCTGCTGCTTTCACAGAGCAAGGGTGGCTCAGTAATTTGGCCGATGCACCAGAATTGTGCCACTATAGGGCAACTGTAACACTGGGAGCTCACAACACGTCGCTACGAATGTTTATTGCAAGACTGCCGAAGCTTACACCCCGCTGACCCCTGTTGGCCCGTACCCGCCCGCTTTACTGCAGGTTGATTGATGGTACGGGTTCGGCCACCTAAACAGCAAATGGCCGAACACTCCGGCCGGGGCAGGGGCAATAATCATAATAACAATGAAACGAATAAATAAAATGCTATCACTAGAGAGGTCTCGTCTTCTTGTGTTTGGATGTCGTGGATTGCGTCTGTGATGTTGAAGTTGGTGGACTTGCGGTATTTGGCGATAGCGAGTCGGCGTTGGAGGGGCATTTGGTATCGACGGTGGGCAGAATAGCTGTTGATAGAATACAAATAGTTGAATAGGATGGTGGTGATCCTGCATCTTCATCGGGGTGATTGGGCATGTCCTTCATCTGGTGGGTGCCATTCCATGTCCTTTTGGCGTTCTTGTCGGGGTCCCTAGCTGGCCGTTGACGAGGGTACGTGCGCGTGAAGACAGGAACCACTTCGTTGCAGGAGATGAGCCGAGAATTTGGCGAACTAAGTAATGGAACAAGGTGAAGACAACAATGTCTTTCTTGCCGATCACGATCAGCGAGTTTATTAGATATTATTTCAAACCGTTGCGGTTTCGGCGCATTTCCGCTACCCTTTTCAGAATATTTTTCTGATTGGAGGTACTCTACGTTGCTGGCAGCATTAGGTTGCGCAGCTGTTTCTTCATAAGAGCGCCTATGAGTAGAATTTCGTCAAGGCTTCCATCTGCACAGGCCTTGTGCGTACGATTGTTTACACAGTAAATATTGCGATTTTTATTATAATCGTTTGTGAGCGCAATTTTGCTTGCCTCGTCTTTTACTCCACGATTCGTGGGTATTTCGCCCTCAGGTCTTTCTTGCCGATCATTACGATTGGCAAGTTTGTTAGAATTTATTTGGAACAGTTGCGGTTTCTGGGTCCTTTCGCTAGCCTTTTCAGAATTTTTTTCTGAGAGGAGGTACTGTTCGCTGCTGACAGCATTAGGTTGCGCCGCTATTTTGTCATTTTGAGGACTTTAACTGAATTTTCATCAAGTTTTACATCTGCGCAGGTCCTCTGCGTACAATTTTTTGAACAGCAAGTACTGCATTGTTAATTATTATCGCTCATGACTGCAATTTTGCTTGCCTCTTCATTTTTTTTTTTGCACTGGAATCCACAGGATTCTCACTCTTAGGCTCACCAGTTGTTTGGCAAATGCCGCTAAAGACATTTTTGCATTGTTTTGCATGTAAAGGCGATGAATTCGCGTATTTCTTTGCGTATGTTCGAGCATACATCATCTGTAGCTCCACCATCACAATGAGTACATCTGCTTTGGGAAGTATGTCGTAAAATTCGCTCTCTTCTATAAACACTTCTATCTCACGCGCTATGAACTGTTTCTTTTCATAGCAGTGTGACATGTAGAAGTCTAATAATTCATCTACTTGTGATTGTAGAAATTTTGCAAGGACTCTCACTGGCGGAAGGCATGCATTGAGTACATCCAATCTGCTGAAACATTCTTGATTTTGCTTCCGACTGCGATTTAGACAGGAACGAATTCACTCAAATAGCCATACTGGCTCAGAAAACTCTTGAGTAATTCTGACAAGGATGAAATTTCCTCTTTATAGAAGTGAGGAGACATTTTTTTTTATCACTGAGGCTTTCTCGCCAGCAACAGAAATATAGAGCTTTTCACTAAGCTTTGTTCGCTATATGCGCGATTGTGGGAGAAGTGTCTTTAGGTTATTTAACCTAATGTGCTGCCATCAAAGCAAAGCACTTGCGTTCAAAATCCACGTAGGATAGAACGTTATTTGCTGCTGCTTTCACAGAGCAAGGGTGGCTCAGTAATTTGGCCGATGCACCAGAATTGTGCCACTATAGGGCAACTGTAACACTGGGAGCTCACAACACGTCGCTACGAAGGTTTATTGCAAGACTGCCGAAGCTTACACCCTTCTGACCCCTGTTGGCCCGTACCCGCCCGCTTTACTGCAGGTTGATTGATGGTACGGGTTCGGCCACCTAAACAGCAAATGGCCGAACAATTTGTATGAATGTGTGGCAACGTTGGAAAGAGCAGAGCAAGGAGAATATAGTCACAGGGGCTTTCAATCTGAGTGTCACGGTCGACGTGGCTCAGGTCCTTGCGAGACGCCTCGCATGGGTCTCTCACGTGGCGCAATGCCGCATCCGCTAAGACCTTCGCGTTATCGGGTGTGGTAGTGTACCACGTGAGAGACCCAAGCGAGGGGCTCTCGAGGGGATGAACCACGTCGACCGTGACACTCAGATTGAAAACCCCTGTAACTTTGTTTGTACAAAAACTTCTTTGATGACGTAGTGGTGCAGGAAAGAAGAGTGCACTTGTTTTCAATACGTATTGGTTTTTTCTACCGTATGCCTTCCAGCCTCAACTTGACGTGGATTGGTGAGGCGCGCATCGCTTCGGGTTTGCGCCGCATTGCTTTTCTCGTCGGCGCCGCACCAATCCACACCAATCCACACCAATCCACGTCATGTTGAGGCTGGAAGGCATACGGTAGAAAAAACCAATACGTATTGATAACACTGTAGTCACATTTCTCGCCAATTTTTTTCATAAATCACGCTTCAAAAAAACTAAAACTAGGTGTAATGTATGTGGTAAACACAGAACAAATTTCGCGTTTTCAACCATTTGCATGACCATGATTGGTGAAATTCAGGCGGTTTGGATTGCCCAAAACTGACTTCTACGCGCAAGTACAGGGTGTCCTAAAAACGTGCCTAGTGTTTGGTTGTCAATAACTCTCTTCTTTCTTCTCTTTACTTCAAGAAGTCTTTTGAAAGCTTTAGGTGCCAATAGGGCTGGCTTTAACTTATAATTAGATTCACGATATGGAGCGAATTACCGATCGCTTTTCGTTACTGTAGGATTCCGGTGGTCGAAAAGGGTTTTTGCTCATTGAGGTCCTATTTCGATTCAGAAACAAGTCAGACGACCTGAGAACTATAACATTGGTCTAATCTGAGCCGCGACCAACGAATACAAACTTTACGCTTTTTCGCAAGGCTTCGTTCATAAGTTACGGCAAGTAAACTGCAGTAGCTGTCTTAACAATGCTCTTTAGATTCGTGATTACACCATCCCAAAAGCTTCCAAAACTCGTAAAAAGTTAAGTTATGAAATCAGCGCGCATAAATACAATGGAAGACAACTTTTCAGAATTTTCGGATTTTTTTTTCGAAATACGGGTATTCCACAATGACGCTGTAAGGTGAAGGCTGTTACCGTATCCTACCGTAACGAAGAGCGATTGGTGTTTTGCTCCATACTGCAAATCTAAGTTAAAGCCAGCTCTACAAAATTGCACCTGAATTTTTTGAAAGACCCCATGACAAGAGAGTTATTAACACTCAAATAGTCACGTTTTTTGGGACACCCCATTGAAAAATCTCACATCTTTGCAGAAATTCGTAAATAGCAGATCACAAGCTCCGTTGTGGTTCGCCATGTAGCCAAAGGTTGTGTGTATTCACTCACCGATATATTCGTCTCTGCATTCAATACAGGCTGAGAACAAAACAAGAAAAAAATCGATTTTCAGAAAGCTAGCTAGCCATCTAAGCGCATAATTAATTGTCATTTACAAACGACGGATAATTTTGATCATTCGATCAGTGAGAGTAGAGGCTCAAAGTTATCTTCTCGCAAAAGATCTCAGCTAATTTGCTGCTACGCCTTGACAGTGCTTCGAATTTGCATGTCAAAACGAAAGTTATATATTAGCCAACCTAATACTTTATATTCTTTAATATGAAGTCATATAGGTGTCCTTTCTACTTACTTTGCAAATAAGTGCCTCACTGAAAATTGTTCCGCGGGCTTGCAGTTTAGCAGCTTGTGCCTGTGGCACCTGTCCACCCAGAATTTCAGCTGTGCCAAGACTGTGCCCTATCACGTGTATTTTGGAAGTAGTGTTTCAATACAAGTTGTTGGTTGTTACTTACAGGTAAAGGACCAGCGCGAGAAAGTTCACTTACCTCTGCACCTTTTTGAATCCTACCAAGACTGCTAATAGGCGCGATAGCGGTCCGCGCTGTTTTTGCGCGTCGGTGGTCCGATGGGACGTGAGTGCGCAGGTTTTGCGAAGACGAGCAAAGTACGTGTCCAGCATGCTCCTCGCTCGGACCATCATGACCGCACTTTCTTTATTTTGCGACAAATAAGGGGGTAGAGGTTTACGGATACTTAGGAATACTGTAGAAAAAATGCGTAGTTTCTAAAGAGGTGATATATAAACGACTATGCTATATGATTATCACCCAAATTGCTAGCAAGTAAGATCCCTTGCTTGCTTATACCACTACTTGTCCTTTACTGTATTTCAGCATGGTTTACGCAGAAGAGAGTTAGCAAGACTTTTACAAGGAAAATACTTGAGTGACACCAACTACCTCCATTTCGTCTGCATGACTATTCAAAGCGGTATTTGGTATTAGACACTTCTGTGAGCAACTTCTATGAAACCCAATCAAAGCAGACCACCTAAAAATCTCGGATCGTAATGAGTTACATAATACAATGCTGGCCAAAATTGCAACCACCCTAGAATTTCGCTATAATTTTTCTGGCATATAACAAGCTCAAATTTCGATATTGCATGCAAATCGCACTGCTTAACATTATGCCAAAAAACATTTTGCAGTTTTATGCACACAAAAGACTTGCTGCCACCTTCTGTTAAATATCTTTGAAAATTTGCCACTTTCCAGTAGTTGAGTTACAGATGCACTCCTAAGTCTCAAGAGATGCAGCCAACTAGCCTTCATCAAACTTTTGAAAGGGAAACTAGGACCAAATTTTCTTAGATTCTAACTGAATGCAAAAACTGGATAAATCATCAGGTTGCCGAGAAGTAATCGGCTGATCTGTGCTCCTCTGGAAAGGTTGCACCATTTGAACGCAAATGCGGGGCAACTTTCGGTTCGAAATTGGGCTCAGCGGCCTAAAGAGTTCTTGAACTCAATGAAAACCCTAGCTTTGCAGAGACGAGCACTGGTCCAAAGCTCGCAGAGCTTCATTGTCATGGAGGCACTGCTGCTACGGAAAAGTTTAAGCAATTACAAATGATAAAGCCTCTTGAAAAATCGAACATTCTCAGATGGTTAATCGCACAAACTTTTCGCAGCAGTAGCGCCTCTGCGTTTCCAACGAAGTTCTGCGAGCTTTGGACCAGCGCTAGTCTTTGTATGGTCAAGGTTTCCATAAAGTTTGAAGACTGTTCCGACCGCTAAGCCCAATTTTGGGCTGAAAGGTGCTCTACATTTGAGTTGAGGTGGTGGTAGATTTTCAAGCACTCCAGGTAATGCTTTTTCTGTCACATTCGCAAACCGCCGCCAAACGTCAAATGGTACAACCTTCCCATAGGAACACAGATCAGCCGATTAACTCTCAACAAGCTATCATTTATCCAAAGCTTGCGGTCGTTTGGCGTCCAAGCAAATTTGCTCCGCAAAGTCTACTTCTTGAAGTTTAATAAATGCGGGTTGCTATGCATATGGGTGCGCCTATGTAATAAATAATAATAATAATATCATAAGTCATAGTATCTGTAGCGGAAATACTGGAAGGCGACAAGTTTTTCAAAGACGTTTGGCAGAAGGCGGCTGCAAGTCCCTGACCAACCTCGACTTTGCCGTTTTCGGCATTTTAACCAGGAGCCCTTCTGTATGCATGAAACTGCAAAATTTTTTGGCATAGTGTCAACCACCAAAATCTGAATTAGTTATAAGCGAGACAGCGTACAGGGCGGCTGCAAACCTCTGCCCAGCACATATGGTTTCGAAATTATATTACTGCCACTTGCCATGTTTGCGACCAAGAAGGACGTCTGTATAAGTCAAGTTGTCTGCAACTGTCGTTTCTTTACAATATTTAATCGCAATCATCAGTATGTGACATGTACAAGACTTTCACGTTATTATAATAACCAATCCAATATGTGTTGAGCATTCGATGTTATCAAACAATTACTGAAACAAAAAGAAAATTATATAAATTGCTCTGGGTTCAAGGAATCAAACGAGACTTTGCTCTCATGACTGTCGCCCCTTTGAAAGGCGTCACGTTTGATGACTATAACGAACGGGAGAAGAGAGGAAAACCACAAAATCAATGAAGCATAACTTATGAATAGTGCGACAACGTAGAAGGGGCAATGCTGAAGGTGGAAATACTGGATTCTACGCGGTTCTACTACGAGTTAGAGATTACTAGGCGAGGCGTCATTGAGTTTGCTGGGGGGTAGGTGGCTAATGTTATTGCTGTTCTAACGATCGCAATTCACGTTCGTTGCTTCGGACGTTTATACTTGCTCCATAGGCCTGAAAAATTGCAATTTTAGTGGAAAAGCTTTGGTCCGATAGAATTCCAAAGGGGATGAGCGACAAAAATCTAAAATCCAAAATCAAAATTTTTTTCTCAAATTGCAAGCAGTGGCATTACTACACCCAAAATTCTTTTCACGAAGGTGAAGAAATCTGCATATTTCAGTCGAAGTAAATACAAAAAAGTGGATGAAAAAAATTTAAAGCTCATGTAGAACATATTTTCCGACTTATTCTCGGTCTAGCCCAAAAGGGCTAATTTATTTCCAAGCTGTTCTTAGTACCAAACGGTCTCGTAAGCTCCAAAAAGTCCTCTGTTCTAGAACTATGGTAGCATCAAAAAACCAAATCTAAACGCTTTTTTGATCTTATATGAGACCTAGCACTTTATCTCACATTATTCAGTGCACCAAAATTTAATTCCCCATGTTTCTCACATTCCACTATTCTGCCTTTTCTGAGACTTTTCAAGCTTGTATCAGCGCAAAGATACAAGAGTTGTATAAAATGCTTCGTCGTTGTCATCATTGAATATCCTGATAACAGAGTGACGTGCTACTTACTAGCCAGAAAAACTTCATAAAAGCCGTCTAATGCCTAAAAACTTTTCCGCAAGGCTTTCACAGTTTGTGCATTGCAAAAAGTCTATTATGAGAATTATTTTGCATCTACACTCATTCAAAATTGAAAGGAGCTGCACTTTTCAAACTCACTCTGTTCCTGCCATGTGATCTTGTTTGGGGTTCCAGCTGTTCGTCACCTCCATCTTCGAACTGTATCGGTGAAACACCAACTACCTCACGCTGAAAATCAAGGACTTATCCTTGGAAAGCAAGTGACGATGTCCCAGAAGGTGTGATGCTAAGTACCTTTGAGTCTGCGGATGAACCAAGAGAGAATTGTGAAACTCCGAGTGCGACTGCTTTGGGTTGCCGTACAAGAACACCGTGAATGACTGGAGTGCTGGAACATAAGGTGATTATTCCCAGTTGTTTACAAATTCTTGAAGTTCCGTATAACAGACCAAACCCTCAACCTCTTAGAAATCACAGGAATAGTCATGCATAACATAAAGAAATCTGGATAACAACAGTAATAGAGGACTTTCAAACCGCCACCAACACATAGAGAAAAGGACTGTTTAGGACAGTGATGTGAAGTACCAGCTTTATACCTCTTTGCTGGTCTTCTAATCTTCCTAATACTTCGCGAAGTTCCTCGTCTTAAGCCATTTCTGTCACGAGGATCCTGAGTTCTAAAGAGTTTGGATATAGGTATTGCCAGGTAACGTGCATACAAATCGCGTTTATTGAAATTCTGGAAGAACTTTTTAAAAATTCCTCATTGGATATTATTTATCCTGAGTGCAATTCATGTCATGGTACCTCCTGGCCGACTTATGCTGCATGTAAACTATCATTACTTTTCAAATCATGGCATTGTAACCTACAAACAAATGTAAAAATCAGAATACCCACCGAGAATTTAAGCTGGTTCTTGGGCGATTTTGCCGTCTTCGTGGTCTTTGGCAAGTGACGCAAAAGATTCTCACTGGTTCACTAGCAACAACGTTGTTCCTGAAATAAAGATCATTTAATTGCCAGCTGGTTTTTTATGAGAGCAATTTTTTCAACTGAGCAGAAGGACGTACCTATAATGAAGACTTGGCCAAGCAGGGCACTGTCCATTTCTGATTGCAAAGGCTGTTGATGGATTAAATTCGCAATGTCCATTGCTTGGATTGTAATGGGCGATCTAGAAGAAGAATAAGAGTGTAAAATACAGGCGTTGTAGATTGATACAGTCAATACATTATCGTTCTCTTCACTACAAACATTCGAGATTTTCGATGCCCCTAGGCAAAAAATCATCCAAGCACTAAGCTGGCTCAATTTTCTGTGCTTTGTCACTCTCGTGAGCATAAAAGCGGATCGTTCGTTCCTACATGATAATTTTTATTCTATATATGCACTTGAGTTTTGCTCTTTCACATATCCCATGGAAGGCGGTGACTCATGCATTAATTTTTGATAGCAATCTATTATTCCGTTTCACCTCACGGGATGCACTACATCTGAACTTCCTGGAAATTTATTTGATCATTTGCCGGTCCACCAAGGTCTTTGTTGCTAATTTCAACTAGGCAAGGTCTCTTTACCATTTAGAGGTGACTTTGGTGAAAATTACTAGTTCAATCAAATCCATATTAATAGATAACAGTTTTTACAAAAGCACAAAAAGATCATTTTTACCCTTCTTTGCAGATGCTTTTGTGTCAATACTATAATATATGGATTCACAAATGAATTGCCGACCGATAGTGTGACTCCGGTGGTAAAAAGGTCCTGCTTAGTGAAGGACTTGTTCTGATGAAAAACTGAAAAATCTTGACGCCCCTCGAAATTGTTAATTTTTTACGTGTTAAAGGCAGTGGCTCGGGAACATTGCGACTGCGAGCTTTCCACACCTACATGGGCTGGACGCGCTGAGTTCAGTGCTGTGCTTGAAATGTCAGAAACGTGCTTTTACGGCGTTTTCCTACCGTGGAGATATTTGGAGGGAATGGGAGGGGGATTCCCGCTCAAATCGCGATTGGCTGCCTGAGCCGATCAGCCAATTACCGCCAAAATGGTAAAGTTACAGTCTTCTGCAGCCAATCGTTGTTCAAGGCGGGAAGTCCTCGCTTATTCCCTCCGGATATCTCCACGGTAAGAAAACGCCGTAAAAAGTCCAGTGCTGTACTTTTCAAGTACAGGACTCAGTTTTCACTGGACTCAGCGCATCCAAAAGGCCAGCCACGTAGGTGTGGAAAGCTCGTGGTCAGAGTTTTCCAGGGCCACTGCCTAAGGTCGATCTCAATCTTTTTTATTTTCATGGTTGTGTTATTGTGCAGAGAAGCCCACCTGCACCACCAGTGTAATCTAATCTCAATGGGTGAGCATAGTCATAATGGCTCATTCCACTTGAATTCTTTGGACAAAAATTTATTCTGAAGAAATATCTCATTATCTCTTTTTCTTCTCTCTGATTTCCCAACCTCATTATTAGTATCTCTGACTGCGCTGCCACAGTTTTTAAGAAGATGTGCTTTTTGCGTATATTTTTCTAAACTGGATAGCTTACCGCGCAATTGAATTCGTGACATGTTCGTGCGCACTGATCCACTGTGACAGCGATCGCAAAGTGAGTAAAGGACAGCCTTGTGGGACCATTGATGGGTGTTGAGATGTAAAAGATCGAGAGAGGGCATACTGTAAATATCGGTTGGACTGAGGCAACATTGCCATGATTCTACAATTCACCTCCAGTTCGCAAATTTTGCTGGGTAGCAAATGGCAGCTGTGGGGCTTGCGTAGTTGGTGGCGCTTGTGGTGGAGTTGGTTGAGGGCGGAACTGCTGGAATGGTCGCTGAGTTGGTTGAGGTTGCGCATTAAAGGGTGGTCGGAAAGGTGCCTGGAACGGTCGCTGAGGTGCATGTGGTTGTTGGAATGGAGATGGAGTTGGTGGTTGGAAGGGCGGACGTCTGTAAGAAGATTTTGAACGATGGCGAATGGTTGAGGTAAAGTAAGGTAGCACCTAGTCCTTGGTCTGAAGGTCTGGGGAGGCTGTGGAGGTAGTGCAGGTCGTGACTGTTGATCTGGGAACTGTGGCTGAGGTCTGAAACATTCTTCTTAAATCAGCGAGCATGATTTTCAGTCAAGCTTACGTGAATGGCTGAGGAGGTCTGGTCGAAGGAACAAAGAGCCGTGGAGGCGTCTGAGGAAGTTCCTGACGTCCGAAACTTGGCTGATGTACAACAGGACTAAATCGGTAAGTGTTAAATAGCATACGGCAGGTCCTCTTCAGATGAAAACGCACGTGACTGGTTGTCGGGGTGCTGCTGTTGTTTGCACGAAAGGTATTGTGCGGATAGTTGTAGGCGGTTGTGTGGATGGACTGAATTACAGGATATGAACATAGAAGCTTGTTAACGACTATCCAGGAGAAGGAACATTTTTGGAGGCGTTATTAGAGCGCACTAACACTACGCAATTACTAATGGGTCCCAAAAAGAAAAGGTAGCATCCAAAGAAGATTATTATTATCTCATTTTGGAGCTTATTGACTCAAGGTACTTTCGACACTTGGTCTACTTACCTCTGAGTAGTGGTTGTTGTCTTTTCCTTGCTGCTTGGTCGATATGGCTTCGGGACAAATAAATTCTTTTCTAGAAATGGCAATGAAGATTTGAAAATGGTGGAAATTAGGAAATTCAGCTTTCCGCAAATTCCTGAGAAACTAGTGGACTTACCAGCTTCAGTCTCTATGATTGTATTGTCATCGTAAGCTCCCCAAGGATCGGCTGGGTTTGGTTGATTATCAGCTGAAATAACAAGCATATGTGGGCACATAATTTATATCAATTTTTACAGAGGCTCCCTTCTGCAAAAAAAAACCGCAACTACCTGATTCTATCAAAGCTGCAAAGCACTTATTATAAAACATTATGAAGCTTATAAAGCTAAGACCTCATCAAAACCTCGTCATGTTAATGTACATAAATTCGGTGCATGCGCTCTATCAAGGGCGCTATATCAATAATTTCTGAATTTTACGACTACCTTGCACAGCAATGGTTAGAGGAGATCCCACCGAGTACGATTTTCATTCAGCAAAAACCAAAACGGCAAACTACTCTCTCCGAACTTTAACTCAGCGCTTTTACATCTCCAAGATAAAAATAATGTAGCAAACACAGCGAACAGATGTTCACGACTTCCAGCACTTTGGTGAGACCGATGAGTTGAAAGGGGCTAGCCAATAAATCATTTTAAGGTCTCACAACAAATCACATTGGCAGAACTGTTATATTGCCGATTTGCAAAAAAGTAAATCGGATTCGCTGAACATTGCTGATTCACGCAAGCATGTTTGCTGCACCAGTGACTTTCACGTTCTTTTTTCATTTTATTGTAAAATTGACGTTTCAAAAGTTTGCGCAAATGATAGCAAGAAAGTCTAGATTTTGCTTCTTATGACATAGTGTTAGTACTAGGTTGCTTAGACAACTTTGCTTCCAAATTCAAAAGGAACATAATATGCATACTTCACTTCATATTTTATATAATACATTGAACGAAAAGTCGAACACAATGCAAGTGAAATCTGTTAAAATTTGCACTTGTTTTGGAGTAAGTTGTGGTAAAATATCTAAAAAAAACCCTCTTTCCTCGATAGAGGGTGGAATGCGTCGCCAAAACATAATGGAAGTTGTTTTAATCGTCTATGACTCATCTACACCAATAATATGAGGCTTAGTCAGATGGCTTTGTCACAGGAATGCATGGAATTCTTTTTTTTTCACGTGCAAGAAAAACGTTATTACAGTATTCGATAATGATTTAAGGTACAATACCAGTTAGAAAATGACATTTTTTAAGCAGATCTTGAATGCAAGAAACATGCAAGGAAAAAATGGACTTGTTTATCCAGTAGACATAGGAAATTATTTTGGCAAAGGATTCTTATCCGGCTGATAGTCTTCACAAAACTGCCACATCATGAAAGGGCCAGTTTTCCAAGCTATGAATGTGTTTTCGTACAAAACTTAACGCCAGATGAAATTATGTAAATTGGTTTTTGGTCATGAATCCGAAGAGGAAAGTTCTCTACACCAACCGAAGCTTGTGCACAAACGCTTGTAAAGGAAGCGAATATAGATGATTCTAGTGGAGATCGTTAACAATGTCTCATTTTTTAGATTTTCCATTTAGGGAGCATGAAGGTCTTAGAATCTGCGTACAGAGGACCCTGCAAGAAAAGACGCAAATATCCATTAAAACGAGGGCCATATTTTATCCAAGGTAAGCGTCCCGAACATGTAAAGTGTTTTTAACATTTTTTGCAAAATTTGAGGAAAGTTACCACAGGTACGCTAAGTTAGTTTATGAAAAAATGTATATGAAACTCTGCAAAATATCGATCATTTTTAGCGACTCAAGATTTTTAACGTTTTCCCCATAAAATTCAAAACCGGTAACGATTTAGAACAAGGAAAGGTTGCACAATTTTAACAATGCAGTGAATTATCATTTGCTTTTGTTGATTTTTGCAAAATATTTGACATCAGGAAACTGATAAATTTCCTATAAGAACACCGTTGCAGTGATAATTATGTAAACTACTGATTTTTTCGTCAATTGATCGTGTGATTCACGAATTCTAATCACTGGGGTCCCAAGATATGCGTAACACTCACGTTCGTGCATTCCTTCGCCTTCCACCTCATTGAAGATCTCTCTGCGTACGCCATTAATCGTTCCCACATCTGCAAAAGCCACAGATAGGAGCCGACAAAGAACATTCTGGCAAGGACTCGAACACGTTCTGCTTCTTCTAGCGTTTAACAACAATCCGATTGCTTGGAAGAACGTCTTCGCCGCGCTAATTGCTCAACTTCGAAAAGAAACGGTTGAAGTCGAGAGTGGCGTGGTGTAAGCCAGTTTGAGTAAAACCATTCAGCAAATGCAATTAATAGAAGAATGTAAGAACGCATTTGATTTGGTGTAGAGCCGTGCACAATGTCACGAATGCTTTCTGCGGAATTTCATCTTTAACTTTGTGGCTGGTTTTTGTTTGAAAATTCATTCATTCAATGTTACAATAGAGAGCAAATTAAGAGAAAAAAGCTATCCTGTTACAGTCGAGAGTGTATTTATAGAATGTATTATGTAAACGGGCAATTATCCGGTTGCGCTAAAAGAACACTGGTCAAAAACCATCACTAAATTGAGGCTTAAAATAATCGATAATCGCACGCGTAAAACTTACAAAGGAAGCATGTTTAGTCGAAGAGGCTTTCTTAAACGGGGTGCATATAGGTTTTTGAGAGCATAAAACGCTGATTCCAATTCTGCCTTCCTTATCTGTGGAACATTTGTGGACGAGTAGTCATGAGCGATTATTGGAGCAAGAAATTCAATGTGCATTTAAGATAAAAAAAGTTGCTAAAACCTTGCTAGCCCTCAGATAAAGCAACTAAGTGTGTAATATTTCTTTATCTCAGACTTATTAAATAAAGTGCTCTGACTTACTACTGCTCCATTAAAGCGTTAGAAAAATATTACGACTATATTTTATTTTTTTAAAATTATGAAGATAGTCATGTCGATACCACTAGATTTTATTCCACAAGATGAAATGCGCTCGAAGTGCTATACCATACCTATTATTATTTATTCAAAGGTAATCCAAACAAAAGAGCCGCTTATCTTTTGGCCCCATGCTCGCTATCTGCTTATCTACATAAAGGATCTGCATAGAACACAACCTTGGAAAACTGAATTGAACTCACATAAACTAAACTTCCCGCCACTTTGTTGGGTCTCGTCGTCCGACGACTCTATGGCTCGTGGTTGTACACTGAAAAGAAAACTTCGTAGATTCAAATTTACAAGACATCACATCACTTAAGAATCTGCCGGCTAAACATCAAACGCAGTTTCAAATGCTGAAAATTTCATTGAATGTTATGGGTTCTACGTATTTCTATTCCCAGAGTTACGATTCGAAATTGATTTTATAAGGGAATGTAGTCAAACTTTTCGCATAGCTAAAAATACGATGAAGCTTCTTGGAGAAGAGGTGCACTTCTGGACGCGGTTGTTCCGACTTTTGAAACTGTGCTCACGTTCCACGATTCAGAGGCATCGTGCGCCCCATTAAGGCGTTATCATTACTAAATGCGTTAATGTAAAATCGAGTGACACATTTCTGGATAACCAGCTTTCTGGCTATTTCTAGAGCATGTCATGAGGAGGCTAGAGAAATATGCTGGACCATGGCTGTCGCGCTCTGTTTCCCCTGACCGTGGATCAAATCATCCTTGGTGGGTATCGCAATTTGAACGATTAATTGGTGTAATGAATCCTTCGCTTTTGCAGCTCCTACAGAGGCGCAGACACAGACATTTTTGCCAGTGTTTAGATCTTTAAAAAACACTTCAACGAGAACTGCAATGTGAACTCCGCTTGAGTAGCATATATTATATTTCCCAACAGAACAAAGGGTAGAACAAAATAAACTGCCAATTTTTTACTATGAGCATGTCTGAAAAAATTTCGTTTTTTTTTGATTCAACATGACAGATTTTCTTGTTATTCGCCAAGTAAAGAAACTACTGTATCCGACCAAACTACTCATCTAATCATCACGGCATGAGAATGAAGCTTAGAAATTCAAAAAACTAAGCTTTTGGAAATTTAGCCAAAGCACAACTATCCTTACTCTTAAATTCTGAGCAGTTAATATGTGACAGTAGGAATTCTAAACTATTTCCTGGCAAAAATCATGGTTAAAAAACAACAAAAAATTTTTTGTGGAGATTTCCATGCTAAAACGAAATTATTTTTAACCAACTAATTCTATCATCAAGACATTGATGCCTTTGAATTTTTTGTCCAGCTTCATTCTATAAAGAGGATATACACCCCATTCGAAGGTTATAAAATTCGGCTTTTATTACCACTTGTTTGGGTAAAGTCTCCCACTTACACTAGTGCTTTACGCTTCCCATCTGTTCAATCCAGGGATTCACTTTCTTCTAAGTGCAGGTAAAAGTGAAGAGATGACACCAAGGCCGTCACAGCATGTTGATTCTAGCGAATCTTCGTCCGCATCACTGCCCCCGCGTATTCGGACGTTCTTATCCAACTGTGTCCACACACATGCAGACAGATACACACACATGCATACGCAAACGTTTCGATACGGGTTTTTAACACGGGCGCGATCGCGAGAAGCGAGCCGTGGAACCCGTTCCGTGACGCCTTAGCCTTCGACTCGACGGCGCTCGACATCGCCAGCGACGAGATTATCCGCTTGCTACCGCGTCCGTTTCTCGATCCAGCGATTTCCGTCATAAGAAACATTCCTGGCCGCACAGCGGTGATGCCGTAAGCGGCTAAGTGCGCGGAAGCGCCGCACCTGCAGCGGACATTGCGGTTTTTGCGCTATTCTAGCTTGAAAATCGAGAAATTCTGCGAGAAGAATCAACGAACACGTACGTACATCTACAGCTAATTTGTCACTAAACGTGCTTTCTGTGTCATGACAATTTGCAAAGAAACAAGTATGATATCAGTTACTACACAGATCGCATCAATGAATCATACCCCTTCTACTCTTACTAGAACCTTTTACGTCTCCCATGATTAGTGTGCAGAGATACCAGCAAAAATTTCGTGGACAATGACATCGATAGTTTGTTAGTAACCCTGTGAAAATAATAATCTTCAAGGAAGTTGGCTAATTATGGCAGGAAGGGAAGATTCAGTATCAAAGAATCGATTGAGTAGCTTTTAAATAAATAATTCGGCTAATCAAAAGTTCGTGGCCCCATATCATACGTTTCCAGTAACTCTACGTTTCCATCAAAGGGAAGCCGTAAAGTAGTATAGTTCGGTATGGGATTGGTAGTTTATGATTTGTTGTGTATCTTTTTGTGTAATGATATAACATTTATGCTGCAACAAAATGCACAATTTTTAAAAATAAAGTGCTTTATAAGTTGAATTTTCTAAACTTGAACTTGAGAGGTAGAATGCGAGTGCAAGCATCCTTATAGATACTCTTCTAGTGCTACCCCTCTGAAACCTCCAATTATCGACCACTCCCGTAAAGTCAATCGCCCCACCTAGAATTTTTGAAATTACCCTGTTCTCTCTACCCTTACTGTTTTCCTTGCGAAATGGTCCTAATGTCATCTGACTCTTGCAGAAATACATTTTTTCGTCCCATAGCTGTTCGTTTACCCTCGCATGCAAATTAAACATCGTATCCTCGAAGGAAAGAAAGGGAGGGACGAGGAGGCCTTGAATGGGAAATGGGTTCAAAGGAACGGCCATGGGCTTTTGTCGGCAATGATTTAAACCCGAAGCAAGCTACGAGATCGAAACTCTTAGCAAGACTCTTAGCAAAAAGCCGATCGTGGCCATAGCCACAGGTACAGTTTTCGTTTTTTCTCGAGCGACATCAAATTATAAAAAATTGGGCGTTTTTGAGCTTCCATTTATGGAAGTGGAAACCAAACGGCTGCATTTTACATTTTTCAACATCAGCGATAAACTACCAAATTCCATAGATTCCTTTTGAAATTTGGATTCAGTCTTTTTCAGTCAATGATACTTGATAACAGCGGAAGAAACTCAATTTGTAATGTGATCTAATTTTCCACACAAAGAATGCGCACTTTTAACGATGAAATTAACGCGGACTGCGGTTTTTTAATGTCTTTCTTTAAGTGTTATACGATCCGGAGCGCATTGTTTCATAAGATTTTCGCTTTCGCGCACGATACCGGTTCGTTCGTACCATTGCCCCCTTATCCATGTCAGAAAGGCTATAACACTTATCTACAGAGCAAGGAAAAGTGGATTAGATTGTGCCGTCAGAGCAACGGCAAAAATGTGCAAATTATTAATTTAAATGTTTTTTCTTGTAACTCCAAACCAGAAGCTAAAGACTGGAAATGGTAGCTGAGGTCACTTTAGGTCAATCACGAATGCTCCATTTTTCTCGCATTTTTGGAAACTAATTTTGCGGCGAAAAATTTCAGCATAGTGGACTTATAACTCACAGATCTGAAGATGAGAAAACATAGCCACCAATAAAAGAAAAAAGGGCTGGAAAAGGACTACTCATGATTCTATGAAATATTTCACATTAAAAATGATACGATTATTTGTACCTACCTCGGCTTTTCTAGGTGGGGGTGGAGGGGGTTCAGAAAAATATTCTAGTTCAGATTTTTTTGAGCTTTTGAATTGATTATTTTTAGTCCACAGTAACTAGGAACGTCAGCTATGTGGAAAGAATCAACCCAAAATTTTAAAATCTAAGTTTGATTTTGAAGACAAAGATTTTTTGCACAACTTATTTACACCCGTTTCTCTGTTTTAGCAGCCCTTGTTTTTAGAATACTTCTATGATATGACAGCCGATATTTTGGTCATACTCTCAGAAAATTCAAAAAAAAAATTACAGTTCTGAGATGAGATATCTGTTTTCTTTTTGGTTATGATATTACAGTCATATTAACTTATAGAAGCAATAATTCTTAGACAGTGCAAAATCTAACTGCATTATGATGTGACTTCTGAGCAACACGCAGGTTTTTTCGTTCAAGACAATAAAATTGATGCGATTTATGTGACTTCAACTTGAGAGATGCACACTGCGCTCAAGTTCTTCTGGTTAGTTTACAAGGTCGATCCTGCTGAGAAGACAAATGTTGCTGACGTAAAGAATGTTTTTCTTGGGTTCCACTGCTTACACATAGAAATAGTCAAGTGGAAGAAGATAAATCATAAGACTTATAGAGGAAACTTGTCAAGCGCACTATATGCCCTTAAAAGATATATCAGTTGCATTGCATACACTTATTTGCGTGGTACAAAAATGTTCTAAATATGGAAGTGGTGGAAGATAGCAAATTTTGAACCTTTGCCACGATGTTCTTATTAGTACCATTTTAGTAGTTTTTGAAGACCCGGAAATAGAATTATTTCATTGCGAAATATGTCAAATTACCAAACATTGCTCTTCCAGGCAATGAAAAGTAGAACGTTTGAGAGATCTGTAGTAACTCAGTTTTCCGTTGTTTTTGAGATTTCTTTCCAAGAAATGCAAACATAATATTTGTCGTTGTAAAACTCACATTTTTGTTCCCGAGTTGTCCGCATTCTCAGCTTGGCTGCCAAGTTGTGCATATGACAACTGCGTAGAGACGGCCACTAGCACTAGTAACCGTAGTACGGCCATGGCTGAAAATTCAGATTTCTTCAAGGGGTAATTGTGCAAAAGGAAAGACGTGAAAACGAAAGAGATAGGAAAGCAATGAATAGGAAAGGGAAGATGCAACACCTTTGTGGTCGTCTTCGTCGCCGGATGATCAGAAACTGATAGGATGCAAAGAAAAGACTATGAGCCGGTATCAAGAACAATGTGACAGTGTGATAGATGGCGACGGACACGTTGAGAAGTGCGAAAAAGGGAAAATGTCTAAGTGTGTGGGGTGCTGCCAGTTTTAGTTCATTTATGTTCTTTGCAGTGATTGCGGAAGGGGAGGGGTATGATTACTCATTCATGCAAAAGTTTTGCATTTTATGAGATTATTATAGAAACAGTTATGGGTGGAATAAATGAGGAATCTCACTTTCAGCCGTTATTTCGCGTGTGCGACGGACAAGTTTGGGTTAAATATAAACCAATTGCATATGAGCATTTGGAGCAAAAAGTTACTGCATTTTTGAGACACTTATGTCATTTCTGCCTTTTCTCTCTGAGCAGACTATATTAGCAAAGAGAGTTTGATGCTACAATAAATTCTTAGCAATTATATAGCACCATGAACTTGGACAGATAACGTTATGTCACCGATATGCTCTGCAGACATCCACCACAAACTATGCATCTCTGCACATCGAAGCCCGTGTTAGTTGTCCGCGCGGGAAGGGCTTTAACGACAACGTTCTATACCTCTGTGACCTCAACCTACCGCAAGAGTGTTCTGTCACAAAAGATACTGGTTGGCTCCGCCTTTCACCACACCCTTTCAAAATTTAATCACCTCTATCATTATGAACAGGACAGAGAAAGGTAAAGGTTGTAAAAAAATAGAAAAGATTTCCTTGTTCTGCAAGAGTATGGAAAGGTCATCAAAACTATTACAGGGCGTGGTTCGCACAAATTTGCTGGATTAGTGTAAACTTCGAAAATAGGTCCGGTCCAAGCTTATTTGATTTTGCCACCTTTCTATACGGTTTCTGACGGAATGAAGACAACAGACAGTAAAATGTATTGCAATGGTTATAATACCATATTTTTTCCATCTTCGAAAAATTCGTTGCAAGTGCTATTGAAATATCATTCAAGGTTCCACTGAAACTATCTTGCCCTAACGAATGGGATGTTAGAAATGATTATGAACTATAGACAATTTTATTTAGGAAACTAACGAATCCAAGGCTTTACAGAAATTATAGTTATAACATTAAGTAATTGAGCAGTACTAGCAGAATAAGCAGAAGAGATTTTCTTGTGTCGCAAGAGTAAAAAAGGGCTACAACACTGATATAGGTGAGTGATGGAGAAGGCGTAAGGAAAAGCAAGATGCGAAAATTATCACAACAAATGCAGTAATCCCACCTATAAGATTGAAATTTGGTAAGTTTTTGCAGAGTTGCAAAAGGAGGAACAAAAAAACTTTGCTACCATGAAGCAATTACGAGGTATCCATTAACGATCTCCTTGAAAAGTTCAATCAGTGGACGCTAGAATAGTGCCAAGGTGACTCAAAAAAGTGATCGGTACGCAGTGTTTTGGCAATGAGTGGGAAAAGGGCATTCGTGAATGTGATCTTTGGCTTGAGTTCCTGGACAGTTTTGGAACAGAAAGGACTCTCAAGCATAACCTGCAACCCTGAGCATCATTAGGGCGAAAGAATACTGTGTTTGAGGTACCAAAGGTACCTACACTTCCCTATTCCCAGTTTTCGCAGTATATTCTAATATCCACAGACTTACCTCAAAGATATCACAGCTAAAGCAAATCTCTGAACTTTAAAAGTCAGCTCCAAATTTTTGAGTGCAATGACTAAACAGTGGTCGTGAGAATGCAGTGTAGAAAGCCTCTGCCACGTAAATAACCTGAAGAAGGTAAGAGACATCTTACTGTGACCTTGTTTTGCTTTGAACTGCAAAGTAAGTGAAAGTAATTAGCTAGCTCAAGGTTAGCCGGTGAAATCCTTTGTGTCTAACAGCTACGACCAGTCGGCGGGAACGCCATTTGATGGCCCCGTGTTGGGGTTTCAACCCTTGCTAAACGGGCTACTTACGCTGTAAGCGCTTACCGGGATCTAATATGTCATACACTGCTACCATATCAGAAAGTTACATACTAACAATTAGCATTAGCACGCCGATGACAGTAGCGGAAGTGAAAAGAAAGTGAGCAAAGGCAATACTGGTTCCACTAAGACGTTTTTATCTGATCGCAGTTTTTCACTTATCCTTACATCACAACGCGAACAGCTTTACTATTAGCGAATGTCAAATTATCTGAAGATCGCATCTTTACGTAACTTTGAAAAACTCAGATTCTTCGGAGATTGTTCTTCGGGAGCTATACTGAACATGACTGCAACAAGTGGAAGTTAAGAGAAAAGTCATTGACTCCAGACATCAGACATGAGAACAGTCACTTGACAAAATAGACAGTTGGTTGAATGTGATTAAAAAAAGGTCTCAATTGGTGCAATTTTTCCGGACGCAAAGTCATCTACCTATTCTCGACTGATATTAAGCATGGTACAGGCAAAAAAGCGAATGGGAATAAGGAGAACTTTGCTTACGAAAGGCAAGAATTTCGATGCTATGTCGTGCCAGGACCCCTGCCTATCCAAAGTGACATCATGGTAGTAAATGCATGAACAGATGCGCAACCTTTCCTACGTTGACGCTTTCACTCTTGTACTCGACATACACTAATCTATCATTCTCTGATGTAACTACCCTGATTTCACGAATACAAGAGCACCCGTTTTTCTTCTAAACTCGACCAACCTGAACGAACCAAGCAATTTCGCAATCAAAGGACACCCTACCGTGCTGCTCCTTACCTAAAAGGATTGAGTGGGAGAGCGAGCATTTCGCGAGGCGCAGTGGTGTGGCCGGGCTGCTTGAAAAATGTGGGAAAAGTGAGTCTTGAGCTCGTGAAATTAGGGTAATTATGCAGTAGCATGTAAAACCCATGCTCCCTTTTTGACTACTGCTTCTCACTTGTCGAAGTCGATAAGAGCCGCGCATGATCATACTACCATTTGTTGGAGGCCTGGGAGGAAGTGATTGAGCCTGTAAGTCTGTCAAGTGGATCGTTGGTTCTGCCAAACCAATGATCCAACCTGACAAGCGATAGCCAGCTCCTGTTGGCTATTGCTTGCCAGCTCATTCATGCTTAGCTATTATTCGCATTCGTTCAAGCTTTTTTCCCAGGCATAGTAAGAGTTTTCAGCAGTTGATGAATACTAGCTTCGCTATCTTACTTTTCAATATGAATCCAAAGAAGATACTGCTGTCCAATGCTATCTATGAAACAAGTCCTGCATGGGTCGAAAAGCAATATCAACAACAAAGCAATGTCACTGCTTGCGGGCAAAATCATTTAAAGCCATGATAAGCTTTGCTTTCATTGCCGTTTCAGAAGGGTCAAGAGAAAACTGTGAGATCACCTTCAAAATGGGCTACTTTTAATGCACCACTGATGCGGAAAGCTAAGAAGTATGCTGTTCTTAAAGTTGCTAAGTTTCACACTAATGTCGCCACAAAGGACCTGAGCCATACTATCCGAATAATGAGGGCTTTATCCATGCAAGGTCAATCGGTGTTGATGTTCGTGGCAGGACACAAAGAAGCTGAATAATGCTAGTAATGGATAAGAATCTGACCTAAAGCGGTTCAATGATTGAATAGCAATTGACTCCATACCTACAAATCAGCCGTTCTGGATCAGCGTTGTAACACTTGGCGCAGACACTGCCACTGCTTTATTCATTATCATGAGTTCATACACAACTTGACAAATTGCAGATGATTAAAAGCTTCGAAAGTCCATATTGACTCAAATGATGAAGGCAGAGAGATTTGCGGACATTGCAAGAAGTAATTAGCTATCAACATCGTACGATCGAGACTGGAAGTGTAGCAGCTACGAACAAACGTGCGCCTAAATAGGAAGGCCAGCAGAGTGCTTACGAAAAAAGGTCGTTGCTATCAAGAGCTATCCTGAGCTGGGCGGGTTCAGGTGCACATTGGAGAACTAGTTGTATATGCAGTCTATCTCAAAGGCCATTTGATATGAATGCCACTGTTGGTCTTATATTGCAAAATAGTGAGGCTAAGGAGTTATGCAGGACGGGATTGCAGCTAGTGCTCCAATAAAATGATCGGATGCTTATCGCACGACTTTTTGAAGCAGACGCCGCTCTAAAAAAGTACCATGCAGGTTGACTTTTAAACGATTTCCTATTCCCTGCCAACATTTTTCCACTATCACAGCCTCAAATTGTGGAAAGCTGCCTATCTCCTCCATATGTCCACTTATCCATAAAACCTGTCCTTTGAGTGTTTTCCAGCCACTAACGCATCGAAACTTGATCGGGGAGAAAGCCGAGAATAGAGAAAAAGAAATTGCAGGCGAATAAGTTGCTGCAGTGATACTTTTGTTTTTCTGATGGATAACAGGTGTTTTTCTTCTTTATCAACGAATTTTGTATCATAGTTGAAGCAGTTAACCTACTAGGTGATGAGGCAAAGGGAGATTGGACAGTTATTAGCAATGAAACAAGTGAAAGTTGGAGCTAAGTTCGGTTTGAGTTCTGGTTTCATTCCCTAGAAGTAATCGAATTAGGTTTTTATTTTAGATCATCCAAGGAGCACATCAGTTAAAATGTCATTGAACAAAATCATAAAGACTTTTTTCTTAGTGCAGAAATGCTGCAGAAAAATGATTCAACTTTGCAACAGTGGTTTTAATTGAGCAGCTGTAGAGGTTGTCCGGTCGGGCTTTACAGGAACGCTACTTTCTTCTGCTCGTAAACCGATTTTTTTTGTCGGGTTCCTTTAACCTCCGCTGAATTCGATGATAACATCCGTCGCATTCGAGCAATCTTCAAAACTCCGATAAGATCGTCTTGCAAAATCCTTCGTCTGGGAAGAGTGAAATGGCAAGGAAGTATCAGTGAGGTCATCTCAAAACTGTAGTGAGATAACTGTATAGATGTGAACTTTGATAAATTATACCCATTTCCCTTTCCTTCTTTTTTATGTAAGCATCGCATCATCAGCGTGACCGCAAATAGATGCAGTCAGCGAAGTTGAAGCCGATGTAATTTATAAAATGAGCTTTCTTTTTATAGCATTACGATCACCTAAGTAACAGTGATTCACCTCTGCACACCAACACTATCAGAAGTGAGTGAATCTTGATAAAAATATATGAAGTCAATGAATTATGGGTGAATAAGGAATTGGACGCAAATTGATTGAAAGAACATACGGTGACGCTGGCTAATGCGTTTGCAGAAACATTAGCATTGTTCGCTGCTTTGCTCTGCCTTATACACTTCTCTTATTCAATAGCGAATTGTAATGACCCTTCAGAAAGAGTCAGAAACTTAGACAGAGGGATTAACCATACAAATATAGTAAGCTGAAACAGTTCCGCGTAAGGGAGAACCAAACGGGCTGCAAGTAGAAGATAAGAAGAAGGGATATGCGAATACTAAGCAACAGGGCGGTCGGTCGGAACGCGCATAAACTTTCTAACCCGGGGAGTGGCTAGTGTGGCTATGCTATGAAGGAGATGCCGCCAAATGACGTGTTAAGGGGAACGAGAGGAGATGAAGAGAAGAGAAGAGGAGTAACAAAGATTATCCTGATTGACGACCAGAGGTCCAAAACTGGAAGGACAAAAGTAGAAACAATTATACCTGAACATAGAAGCGCTTTTCAAATGATGCTATGTATATATCAGACTAACAAGGTCAACTATCAATTAATATCAAGTTGATTCATAATGAGTGCACGTTTTTCTTACCCCTCGTTTCAAGCGCTGGTTTGCAAAGTAGAAATAACTTCCTCAAAGCTTTTAACGGTGTCTAAAAGGGCGCGCCTTCTAATTTCTTATGCATGTCTCCACTTTCGCAGACCTCTTTTCACTCCAAAGTTTCATCAGTAAAAGAAACTAAACGCCAAGATTATTGCCTTTTAATCTTTTTGCCTTAAATCCATAGAGAATACCTGGATTAATTTGAAAGTATGCTAACCGTTCAAGAAATTTTGTGCTACAAAATAATTGGACAAAATTATTTATGAATGAGCCGAAAAATTTTAATCGCGATTTGAGGAGGTCGTTGGGGCTCATCCGTGTTGTGTGAAATTTCTGAACAAAAGACGATTGCAGAAGATTTGCACTATACAGCAGAGGTAGAACTAAGTGATCTAAAGGTAAAAAAAAGTTTTTTCACATTTCAGCGGTGAAAAATTAAAGAATTCGGAAGGCCGTTTTTTGACCCTTCCTCCAGCGCTCCCCGAGATGCCAGCAAAAAGTGAGTACTTTCAATTTCCCCGTAATATTCTCTCTCAAAAAACTCCGTGAAATCCAGTCATGGCATCCTGCTCAGGGGAACATCGGCTATACAATGAACAAATGTGCTAAATCCGATTTCCAGGTAAATTAAGCTCTCTTGAAGTAGAAGTTTCCAGAAGATTTTGGCAATTTTCAGGCTAGAAAACTTTTCTTGTGATGGCTAATTTCACGCAGGAATACATATTATATACAATAGAAAAGATTTGCTGTTTACAATGACCTTTACTCCTTCCAGAAGACCCTTCCGGAGAAGATTTACTTGGTTCACAGATGGAGTATGAAAAACGTGCATTGATTATGATTCAGCCTAGTATAAGAAGTGAATAACTTTGCTGGATAATCAGAGAAGTACATTTATTAACGGACAGTAGGCACAATTGAATGTTGTGGATAAATTTTTCAGCAATCTAAGAAAAGTAAAAAAAAAACAACATCATATTCAGAGAAGCTGGCGAGGAACTATAAATTTTCATTCCGACAGACCTTTTCATTTGCTGTCCCAAGAAGTCCTAAGTTCTATTGGGATTAGAGCGAATTGGTTAACTAACTGGCCAGAGTGGTCATTTAGTAAGTTGCTGATGTTTCATGTTTCCTTCTGTAAACAACAACGTGACATGGCTTGAAACCGGACGTAATGGGTTAAGCAATTCACGTGCGATCAACAAGGAAAAAAGAATGGCGCAGTCGTAAAGCCAGTTGGCCGTTTTCTATAGGAGCATTTTCGATAATTGCGAAATGGGAGGGCATGAAAAGTCATACCGATAATTTGATAGTAATTTTGAACGGGTAGTTTGTTTTTTTCATAGATAGATTTATGAGTACGAACTCTGCTTCCGAGCTAGAGATTATGCAATAAAATGTGCTGCAAACGAAATTATCTAAAAGTGTATGGAGCTGGAATGCGGACATACCTTATAATATATTTTTTCCAATAGAATATCGACAGTCAGATCTACTTCATTGATAAACTGTAGAACTCGTAATAATTTGTAGACAGAATTGTAAGCGCTCTACCACGTGCCAGACCAAGCTATCAGCAATGCTGCATAGTTATCTGTGTACTGGTCACTTTCGATTTCGTGATATTCGTCAAGGAGTGAGCAGAAAAACGACCAATACCATCAAGCACTTGGCAAAACCAGTTCTAAGCCCGTTAGTGCAATTTCCGTCAAAAATGAATCACTGTTAGGCAGAGGCTGTATTCCATGTTTGGGGTTGCGAATGGAACAAAATTTGCTGATTACAAATTGGTAACTTGCGCGGACTGAAATTAAGTGTTGGGTTTGGTCACTTTCCGGCTCTACATTAGGTAAATTTGTCAAAAGTTTTTCATTCGCTAAACAGCTGAATTCTGTTTGAGTAGTATTTGACAAGAAGATTTGGGTGATTCAGCAACTAACCCGGCATGACGTTTCTATATAAAAACGTATCTCGAAATTTTAGACCCGATTCCCAAGGTTGAGTACGGTTCCAAAGTACTATCAATTGCAATGCTGCAATGGCAGAATGCGAGGCAGGGGATGGAATGAGCAAAGTATTTCGACGCAAATATCCGTCTTACAAGATAACCTGTAACCTCTTCGCGATTAGATGAAGGCTGAAAACTCAACATGATTGTCTCTTTTTACTAATTGTTTGATATATCATGGTATGTTAGGTGCAAGGTAAGCCATGATTAACCAGACCTGAGTAGAGAAGTTTCAACGCAGTGTTCAGACAAAATTACAAAATGCTCAGAGATATGAAAGCGAGTGGAAAAGCGATCCGGTCACAGATAGCTTCGTGCAGATGATCACGACACAATACATCACCAAAACATTATTTAGACGTTGAATGCATAGAATATGTAAAACGCTCTTTTGAATTCCGTACAGGAGTGATGGTGACTCGTCGCTAAATCAGTGGATTTTTGAATTTAATGAATTATCCAGCGTGATTCACCAAATAGCATTGTGAAGGCAAAATGACTCAGAACAGTGCAAGAATTCGGCACAGTACTGAAACACATCTTATCCATCACATCGTATCTTTCACTTACACTCACTTGCAAATTCTCGTATCCTTACCTATGCTCAAACTGTCTTCAATCAAATGAATCTTTTTTGATCAAACGGGTTATCCTAAAAAGATGTTTCGGACATTTTATTACTAAAAAATCTCTTCTCATTAAGCCTTCGGGAAGCTCTAGGTACCATCTTGTAGAGCTGGCTTTAACTTAGATTTACATGGAGCGATCGCTCTTCATTGATAGGATTACGGTGAGAACATTGAAGAGGGTTTTGAAAGATGGAGGGCCATCTTTTCATCTGGGAAGATCATAAATCATGAAATAAGCACATTTTTCACAAAGATGAGAAAAAGGTAAATCGACTGGCACCCGAGTTGCTCGTCGGTTCATGTTGTAAATTTGGTTTGACTAAATATGGAGTTTGCTAGCATAAAAATAAATAATCACAGCAATTTTGAAAAGACAGCTGGAGTTGCGACAAAAAATCCAATGCATTGCAAATCCATTGTCTACTCTATCTATCTGTTGTCGTTTGAAATGAAAACTTTGAAAAGTTGCTAGATTTGACATATTAAAAACTGTGGATTTGAAGTTTCGGTGAGTATTTCCGTGACAAGAGCAACCAAACCAGAAGCACTTGGGAAGGAAGAAGAAAAAGCTGCGTTAAATAGTGCTTAATTTGTTTGTCTTGTCTCACGTATTCCGATGACAGTTTAAACGAATCTGTTCATTAAGTCGTTCTAAAACTTTTTTTTAAATTTATTGTGAAAACATGTGGAACATAATAGACAAGCGTTCCAAACACTATTCAACCCAACTTTTCCTCCTTTTTTAGCTGTCACGTTCGCCAAAATTTTGAACCCGTCCGATGGTAAGTTTTTAAAATCTTCTTTTTGAAGTTTTGGGAAAAGCCTTGATAGCAATTAGATAACGTGAACAAAGTGCAATGCATTGCAATTTTTAGAGCATCTCCAACTGGCTTCTCAGTAATTTTTGGAGTTTTAGTACGATCAAAAGTGAAATTTGATAGCATCATAAATATGATTTCAAAATTTTTAAAAAGTAGCTATGGATGTCAAAAAATTGCATTGCATTGCACTTCGGTTTACGCTATCTGATTGCTATCAAAGCTACTCCAAAAGTTCAGAGGGAAAATTTGATAAATTATCAGAGTTGGACATGGTAAACTTTCGGAACGATCTAATAACTTTTCAAAGAACTTAATATTATAGGGTGTGGAAAAAGTACTGATTCTCAGTTTGCCTCCTCAAAGGCAGTGGCTCGGCAGAATGAGATCCGTGGCAAAACAAGGGGTAGAAGCCCCATAATGGAAGCTATGGGCCAAAGTTCGATCTTTCTCTGTTATTTCTAACCAGGGCTCGGCACGAGCTGGCACCAGGGAAATTCCAAAACGAAGTCCCGTTTGATATTAACCCGTCATCATTTTTATATTATGTAAAAAATGTAGTAGTGTTCATTTCTGATTCATGAAAGAACTTTTCACAGCTTTCTGAGCTTCTTAAGTGGTCGAATCACATATTGAGAAGCAGAAAAAGCCGATTTTTCGACTGCGGAGCGGGCCAAGTGGTTTTCAAATTGCTATAAAACGCTGAAAAGAGAACATTATGAAAATGTTTGTTATCCGTATGTAATCTTTTACAGTGTAGATACATTTTATGTAAAAAAGTATGAAAACTTATGTGAGCAAAGTGTCGGTGCCAGCTCAGCTGGCACCCAGCTGGCACGGTGCCAGCTAATTAGAAAAAAGTTGGGCACAGCTTTCATTCACATAAGTTTTCATAAATTTTTAGCCCGTTCCGGTCCACCAACGCGCATGCACACACCAAATTTGGTGTCATACTATTGCGTTTTGGCTGAAAACAACGCCTTTGTTTGTTGATGGACAGCTTGCCAATGGCATGCCGGTGGCATGCCGGCGGCATTTTTGCGGCAGTTCTCCGCCTCGGCCCCTGTGGAAACGATATCCCCTTTGCTTTCCGCCCTAAAAACAATATCCAGCTTGACCCGGTGCCAGCTGTGCTGAGCCCTGTTTCTCAAATTTCAACGCAAAAGCAGCGCTCATCTCCCCTCCTATCCAACTCCGGGGTTCGACGCGGCAAAGAAACATCGAACTTTGACCCATAGTTCCAATATGGGGGCTCCTACTCTGTGACCTTGTTTTGCCATGGGTCTCATTCAGGGCTCGGCACAGGTGGCTTGCAAAGCAAGCTGGATATCGTTTTCGGGGGAAAAGCAAAGGGGGTATCGTTTTGCGGAAGAGCATAACGCTGTCTTTCGATTTGCTGCCGACACGGTGCCGGCATACCACCAGCAAATAAACAAAGGGTTTGTTTACAGCGAAGTGAAGATGAAATGGCACCAAAATAGGTGTGTAGATGGGCAATGGGGAGTTGGGACTATGTATGAAAAATTATGAAAAAATTATGTGAACTAAGGGCATGACAAACTTTTTTCGGGGTTAGGTGGCTTTCAAGCCACCTAGATAGCCACCTGAGGTGGCTTAGCGCAAACAAAGTCATAAAATTCCTATTCTTCACATAATTTTTTCAAATTTTTTACATAAATAAAACAGCTCTTGCACCTCTTCAAACCCTCTCCTCCCCGCCTAGTTATAGCCCTCCAAATTATCTGGATGGCAGCGGCAAAGGTGCTCCAAGCTCACGGTGGTGCGCGGCGGACACAGCATGTCGCCAATCTGGATAATACAAACAACCACCGGTTCTTATTGTCTATTTTTTTTGTCGGTCTTCTATTCTATTTCATTCTTTTTGTTTTCATTATTGATTTTTCATTAACGTGTCAAGGATGCCGTACTTTTGTGGCGAAGTCAAGGGGGACTTCGTTTTTTGCATTTTCAACTCTTGCCGAGCCCTGGTCTCAATCTGCCGAGCCTCTGCTTTCAATCATCATAGAAATGTTCTCTGATCACTTTCCCAGGGCGAGCGTGGGAAAGACGGAGCCTCTATTGAATGGGAGTGATTAGATAGCTGTTCGCGGAAGAGACGCAGAGTACAGCGCGGAGTGGAGATGCTGATGCAAGCGAGAGCGACATTGCGTTTGATAGGCCCTGTATCCTTCGTTTGCCAGCCAAGATCTTAAGAGTTTTCAAAGAAACAGTCCGGAGGTTATAGCCTAACTAATCTGCCGAGAAGAGCCCAATTTCGATAAGTAGCTACAAGCATGGCATAATCTTCAAGCAGTCAAAGCAAGCAAGCTGTACACAAGGGAATGGTCAGAAATCGAAGCGGCCAATTCAAGCAATCTGCATACCATCAGATGCAGCGTAAAACGCTAACTGTAAATCTGTCTTCCTTATCTGCGGAGCACTTTGTGGACGAAATTATTAGCCGTTAAAGGGCAAACTTGGCGGTGCAAAGCCATTCTCGGCATAAGGTTGGACCAAAACATGCAACTAGGTGGCCACTTCATGTGGCCCGTACCTAGAGGTGAGCTAGAAAAAGCAATAATGTGCCTAATTTCGCATTTGTCTACAATTTTTTTCGCAGTAACCTGCTCATAACTTCGCCTACAAAAGTTCTCTGCAGATATGGAAATAGTTCTGAAATTGGCATTCTATGTTGCATCGATTGGTATGCAGCTTGTATGGAGTGGCCACTTCGGCTTCTGACCATTCCCTTGTAAGATATAGATGTGACCCAGGCTTGAGCTACATGTTATAGTTAGAACCAAACATTTTTCGAATATTCGTATTCAAATGATTCATTCAAACAAGAGAAATCGAATATCCAAGAAAGTGCATTTATTTGATTATTCAAATAGTCGAATAACTGAAAAAGACTTTTATTTGAATGTTTGTTTATTCGACTAATCGAAAAAAAATCAACCTTATTTCATTCAAATATTCGAATATTCGAGTAAAATCGATTGCACTGATGCACTTTCCTAAATATTCGACTTCTCTGGTCTGAATAAATCATTCAATCACGAATATTCGAAAAATATTCGGTTCTATTAGATTGTAAAGAAACTTCCCGGGCACTTTTGGAAATCTCATTT